AATCCACCAAGGATGTAGGACCTATCCGAGGTTGTATGTCAGAGCCTTTGCTCGATGACGTTAACCTGTGTGGAAGAGGTCGACATAATCCACAAAGGATGTAGGACCTATCCGAGATTATATGTCAGAGCACTTTGCTCGATGACGTTAACCTGTGCGAAAGAGGTCGGGATAATCCACCAAAGATGTAGGACCTATCCGAGGTTGTATGTTAGAGCATTTGCTCGATGACGTTAACCTGTGTGAGAGAGATTAAGAGAATCCACAAAGGATGTAAGACCTATCCGAGGTTGTATGTCAGAGCACCTTGCTCGATGACGTTAACATGTGTGGAAGAAGTCGGGAGAATCCACTTAGGATGTAAGACCTATCTGAGGTTGTATGTTAGAGCACTTTACTCGATGACATTAACCTGTGTGGAAGAGGTCGGGAGAATCCACTTAGGATGTAAGACCTATCCGAGGTTGTATGTCCGAGCACTTTGCTCGATGACTTTAACCCATGTGGAAGAGGTCGGGAGAATCCACTTATGATGTAAGACCTATCCGAGGTTGTATGTCAGAGCACTTTGCTCGATGACGTTAACCTGTGTGAAAGAGGTCGAGAGAATCCACCATTGATGTAAGACCTTTCCGAGGTTTTATGTCAGAGCCTTTGCTCGATGACGTTAACCTATATGGAAGAGGTCGGGAGAATCCACTTATGATGTAAGACCTATCCGAGGTTGTATGTTAGAGCACTTTGCTCGATGACATTAACCTGTGTGAAAGAGGTCGGGAGAATCCACTTAGGATGTAAGACCTATCCGAGGTTGTATGTCATAGCACTTTGCTCGATGACTTTAACCCATGTGAAAGAGGTCGGGAGAATCCACTTATGATGTAAGACCTATCCGAGGTTGTATGTCAGAGCACTTTGCTCGATGACGTTAAACTGTGTGAAAGAGGTCGAGAGAATCCACCATGGATGTAAGACCTTTCCGAGGTTTTATGTCAGAGCCTTTGATCGATGACGTTAACCTGTGTGGAAGAGGTCGAGTCGGATCTCCCTGGGATCGATTTTACCCTGATTGGGAGGGGGCGAACGCCACGTGTATCCCGAATCAATGGTGAAGAATGGTCTATCTTTAGACCATTACTGTTTTTTTGAGGTCGAGATTAAGACCTTGCCCAAGGAGTAGAAGTCCAGCAGGGGACTGTATGTGTCTTGAAATTTATCGGAAGCATCCTTACATTTTCCGAGAATTTCCTTATATACCGTCTTGGTTTCGAAAATTTTGGAGGGATCTTCTTGACTAAAATTGTAGTCAAGGTTGCCCCCGAATCTAGATCTGATTTCCATGAAATTGATGTATCAATAGTAGTTGAATAATCTTTTGAGGTTTGAGCCAAAATTAACCTCAGTCGGGAACCACGTTCCCACAGACGGCTCCAAACTGTTGTGTTCTGGAGTATTCGCGGCGGTAGAGAAATATAAAGTTTAACGTCTTAGTGTTGTACGAAAATCCAGCACGCACACAGATAAAGGGAGATGGTGCATTTATGAGAGACACAAAGATTTTTACGTGGAAAACCCCTGAATGGGGGAAAAACCACGGGGCCTGGCCCAGTATAAATGAATCCACTAGTAATGTAGTTGATTACAAAGGAGGTCCTTCCTCAAGGGAAGGCCTTAGCTTGATGTACATCTTATAGAGTATATTACATGGTGAGAATATATAGCATCATTGTTGATGTGTTTGTTTGGTTTGAAAGACTGTAGTCGGTAGGCGACGGAGGTCAGAAGGGCTATAGTCGGCAGGCGACGTAAGTCGAAAGGACCATTGTCGGCGGGCGATGGAGGCCGGAAGGATTATAGTTGGTGGGCGACGTAAGTCAGAAAGGCCGTAGTCGGCTGGCGATAGAGGTCAAAAGGACTGTGTCAGGTAGAAGTCCAACAATGGAAAGAAATCTATCTTTTGTTAGACGTCCAGCGAAAGTCCGATAACCGATAGAAGTCCGGCGTCGGATAGAAACTTGGCGATGAGTGAAGGTACGGCATCGGGTAGAAGTCCGACGTCTGTTGGTGGCCGAGGAGAACTCTGGTATCACTTGGGCAGAGTTTCGACGTCAGGGGAGAACTCTTTCGTTACTTGGACAGAATTTCAGCGTCCCATGGAAGTCGGGCAGAATTTTGGCGTCACGTGAAAGTCGAGTAGAATTCCGGCATCTCGTGAAAGTCGGGCAGAATTCCGGCGTCATTTGGAGTTCAGGCGAAACTCCGATGGTGGTCGAGGAGGAGTTTCTTCCTCCCTATTCTTCTCTTCTCCTCTTCTTATTGCTTGGGTCTTCGGTCCCCCCTCAAGAGAAATGAGGGGTCTATTTATAGATTTTCTGGAGTGGCATGACCCGTTAATAGATGAGACATCAGGGGCAAATATGGAGTGGTTCGGATGAACGGTCGATAATGAATCCTTCGATCGTGGACCATTTATCAGGCATTTGAAGGTATTAATGACTTCGAAATTCAACGATCTTGGGCTCATTGGATTTGTCTCGTCGAGCCGCTCGATTCGACCAGAAGCTTGTCAAGTTCGGAGACTGTTTGGTAACTCAAATTGTGGTACGAACTTTCCAACATCACTTCGGGTCCTTGATTTGGGCTTGGATTGAGTTGAATTTGGTGTCGTTGGGTTCGTATTTTCGAGACGCTTAGTTTGACTGTAAGTTTGTTGAACTCGAAGTTTAGGTGATCCCGAATTTAATTTTTGAAGCTTCCGGCTTGATTTTGCCATGAGATTTGTGCCCGATCAAGATAATTTTATGATGACGTATCAATTCTAAAGATATTTTTGATGCAATGAACTTTTATTTAATGGAATGAGTTTTTGGTAGACATTTTTCATTGATTTTTGTTAAGCTGTAATTTGCATTCTCTTTCTAAGTTGTAATTTGCTCCAATAAAATAAATAATTTGGAGAATCAATGTTGGAGCTTTGGTTGATGCTCATTTGATTTTGTCGTTGTAATGCTTGAGTTTTTTTAAACTTTTTTAAGTCTTCTTGAAAGAGAGGACACAAGTATACAATAAATAAACTCCATAATCCTTTGTTTTTTTTTTTACTGCCATTAGGGAATATGGGCTTTAATGCTTATAAAATTTTAGGTCATTGGAAGTGGTAGGATCTCAACATCTTAGTGCTCACAATTTGATTTTGATTTTGCATTTGGATAATGCAACTTATTTTATTTTCAATGCTCATATGTAACAAAATTGACAAAGCATCTTATTTCTCCAAAGCTAATTTTGCATTTGCAATTGGATGATGAAACATATTTTATTGCCAAACTTTATATTGGTTTATCATCTTATGGGATTTGCTTATAAAATTCTATTGCTGCTCCATTTACCAGCTGACTGCGAAATTTATGGCACTTGATTTTAATTTAACCAAAGTTCCTTACAATATGTTCTCAATTTGATTGTTTTCTTTCATGAAGGATTATATTTGACTCTCAAGTATTAGTTTAAGTAATATACTCTATGAACCATTTCTCCGCCCATTTGAATGTTTATTGTATAGCCATAACTTTAAATTATAATTTTTTTATAAAAATATAGTTAAATATTCATATTAGTCATAAATATTTTTACCAATCATAATTTATAAAATATGACTTGGATTTTTAAAATTATAACGAAAATTCTCATTAATTTATCTTATTAAACAAAAAATTAATAAAATGATCTTTAATCAAATTAGATTAAAAAATTCAACTACAGCGAATAAGAACATTATATCTAATAAATAGAGCACATGGTAATTCTCTTGAATTCATTATTGTCCTTTTGTAAACTTCTACTTGTATGTATTGTAGTTGAATTTTTTTTTTTTTTTGAAAAATTATAATTATTTGAAAATTAAATATAATAAATAGTTTAATTAAAAAAAACTTCTAAAATACCCCTAATTTTAATACCATTAAATCCAGCATCCATTAGTTTGGATGATGGGACCAACATGATCCCATTTTAAAGAGTTAATGGACCAAAATTATCTCTCGAGATAGTTGGGGACCATTTTAGTCCTCCCAAAAGAATTAAGGGACAATTTTGATCATTTTCTCAATAAATATTTAATGGTTAATTGAAGTTTATCTAATCCATAAGAAAATTAAAAATAATAATAATCCATAAGGAAACAAAACCACTGGATCACAGGATTTCCTTCAAATGATCCAAACATGATTCGTTTAGGCAGGTGTTTATCTCAACGATTTAGCTCCTGATAGCTTATGTGTACTATATCTACGGATGTAGGTGAGGCTAGCCAATGAGAGATTCCACAGAGCTCACATTGGCCTGTTGGTTGAGAGCTTATGCTTCTAACTAAGAGGTTTTGAATACGAGTCTTTGTGTATGCATTGTGTGTGTGAGTTTTTCTTAAATGGCCTAAATGTCCAAAAAAAAAACAAGAGATTCCAGCGATTTGGGAAGGACAAATAGTGTCGGATGGGATGCAAGAAGGAGAGCAGAGGAAGAAGAAAATAATTAGGAAGATAATTAACACCTAAAAAATTTAATTTTAACTATCCTTGTTTGCTAAGAACTGAAAAATACAGAATCATAAATACCAAACTTTTTTTTTTTTTCTTCAAAGAAGCAAAAGGATAAGAAATTACAAATTCTCCTTTAAAAAATTAGCTAATAGGGGGATAAGTATCCTTGAATAAAACGATTTAAATATTTTGAACATATGAATCAAAAGAAAAAAAATGTACTTTGACAAGGACGAGATGCTATAAACAGTTAGTAACCAATGCCCGAATAAAGGAAACCGAATAAAGGAAGAATAGTTTCAATGACAACAACCTCCCGAGAATCCAAAAGTTCTCATTTCGTCCTAACCATCCGAAGAGGCGATGCTAAGACCACAGCAAACATCATAAATCGCCTACCAAGACCCTATGAAAACCCCTCATAGATGGAAAGAAAAAGCTAGGGTTTGTTGAGAGACGAACCGGAGCCTCTGGATTTTAGAGCCGTGCCGATCATGGACACCTTCGCCATGAGATTTATCCTCATGTTCAGCGATTTCTTGGCATCCCGCAGAGTGAGGTAGAAATACTCAGACTCGGAGGTAGACATCACGGCGCCCTGCTCCTCATGTCCTGCTTCTGCCAATGCCCGCACCAGCGGTTCCCGCCATTTCATTAGCTAAAGGCACGGCTATCGAACTTTTTTTTTTTTTTTTTAACTATACAAATTGCATTAATTCAGAAATGAAAGGTATTACACAACAATAAGCATATCATAATTCTACCTAATCAAGTCAACAAATCATAATGGAAGTTCACTGTCTAAAAAAACATCTCAATAAAAATAATCTAATATGACATGATGAGAACAATAATCTGTCACATTATTACATTCTCTACAAACAAATTGAAAAATAGCATTCTTAAACACATCTAAAAAAGAAATGTCTAGTTTTTGAGCTTTATTATTCCTATATGATGTAACTTTTATCGAATTTTGAAGCATCATTTATCGAATTTTGAAGCATCTTCATAATATTTACTTTATCACCTTCAATGATGATTATTTTATTTGCGAACATCCAATCTTGAATAGAGTTTTCAACATTTAAAATAGCATTTATCTCCAAAAGAGAAACGTCTCAATGAATTAATTGCTTTCTATAAGCACAAAGCATTATACCTTTATGATCTCTTAATGCACCTGCTATTCTAGCGATATTAAATTGCAAAACAATAGCATCTATATTCAGTTTAGTCCAGCCTTCAGGTGGGGGACACCAAGCATTCAACAGCAAATATTGCTAATTGATATCCTAGTTCTTCTCGGTTGGAAACAAATGCGGATACGAATAATTAGAAAGGATTTATATAGCAATTGACGAAGGCAAAGGAGTAGATTTCTCGTGCTTAACCATGTTTCTAACTTTCCAATTCTGATAGACAGCAGCAATATATATTCCGGCAAGACCCGACTTCACCTAACCAACCATCTTTAATCCTTCGTAGCAATGAGCTAGAATTTAAAATTCAGGTACATTAATACCCCATTGCCTCAAGATATGCATTACTTCTAAGAGCTTCATACAATTGGTTGAAATATCCTCTATGTCTTCAGGTTCTTCACAACGTCTTGGATTGCTAATATTGTGTAGTTTCGTATAATTCAACCACACAATTGTAAGAAATGCATTATTGTAGAGTCTCCACCAAAATAAGAACTCCATAAGAGAGACTTTTAATTTCTTCATCCACTTCAAATCTTTCCAATTCCCTTCTTGAACTTGACAATGAGATTCATTAGCCATGGTTGTAATCGATCTGCATGAATCAGTAAAAAGGGAGTTTGCATAATCAGGTTTTCACTTACAAACCTGGGCCCAAGCACTGTAATTTTGATAATAACAAATATTATTGTTTCTTTTCTATCGCTATTATTGCATATTTATTTTATTTGCTCTTCTTACTAACCTTTCAGGTCCACAAGTTCACTTGCAATGCAAATCAGCTCAAGATCGACTAGACTAAGGTTGAGTCTGTTTGTAATCAATTTTAATATACTTTTTATATTTCTTAATTCAAGTCATGTATATGGTGGACCCCAATCACATACACACTCAAGAGAGAGGGTTAGCGAGATAGGCAATTTTTTTTATTTTTGATCTAATCTTATATAATATTTTTTTACTGTACTAAATGATTAGTTAAAAATAGAAAACCAAAATTAGGGCATCCTATTAATTAAGAGTGATTGAACTAATCATATTGTACGATCCTTATCGCATAAGACAGTCATTTTAGATTGTCAAAAATAGCCGCCAATCATAATTTAGGTATTATTTTAAATTTCGAATTTTATGCATATCGTACAGGATGATTCGCATCATCCTGGATGATATATGACAATAATGCATAAATTAATCATGAGATTAGAAGAATAATTATGATAAAACTTAATTTGATCTAATCGTTTAGGATGATCGGTGAGGTTGATAGAGAGCATGCATGGGATGATAAGGGATCACCACCTATCATACCAAATGAACTCCATAATTTTTCAACTAATTGTCAAGGACCATGACCCCTTTTGTACTAGATGAAAGAGAAGTGCGTGTGATGATAAGGCATCGCTGGGTATCATAATAGACTAAGTTTAATAATTTTAATAAGTTGTTAGACCTAATATAATTGTCCTAGAGCTAATCAAGAGGGGGTGAAACGGTAATTTAAAAATTCTCTTGGATTTTAGAAAACAAATTTAAGATTTTTTAGCACAATAACTTAATTTGCATAAAAATATTTTTCAACCATAATAAACTTAAATGCAGAAAAATAAAAATGCAGTAAAAAGTAAAGACAAAAAACATCAAAGTTTATAGAAGTTCAGTCTAACTAGACTTACGTCCATTCTGTGAAAACTCCTTCAGGTATTACACTATATCAAAGTGACTTTCCTTTTTCTCCCATAGCAAGCCGGAGAAGACCTTACAACAACCTTTCTTCCACCAACCCCGGTGAGAAATAGTGTCAATATCCTTTCTCACCCTCTTGGTGATGGCATTATATCAACATCCTTTTTAAACCTTCTGGTGATGCTAGAGTACAAACGTCCTTTCTTACCCTCCTAGCAACGGTAGAGTACCAGATCTACTCCAAAGATTTTCTCTCAAGAGTCTTCAAAGAAGTAGGGCAGAGATTCAAAGAATACATAAAGAGATCATCCTTTTTGGGCAATTTTGTGAAACCATTCATAATTTCTACTTGCAACATATCTCAAAATTCACTCTCAAACACTCCCTCAAAACACTCTCTTTTTCACTCTCTAGAGAAAATACGCAACAAGATCTCCAGTAGAATAGAGGAGTCAATTTTTAAGACTCTTATATATGAAGGACGAGAAAAATAATCATGAAAACTGAAAATTTTAATTTAAACATAATTGGCTCGTACAGTACGATCATACTTCATATGTAAAAATAGTTAAGAAATCTATATTCGATCATGTATGAACTGATTTCATACTCTATTAATCGTATGTACAAATTGACATCATATTGTACGAACACTTTAAAATTAAATAAATTCGCCTAGTACAATTTCATATGAACCCCATTTTTGTACACTATAAATCATCTGTATGAACCATATATCTTATAGTACGAATAATTTAAACAAATCATGCTTCATATGGTATAAATGTGGACGAACCTATTTCATACTCTAGACGTCGTCTACACAAATCCAACTTCTTAAAATACGAACAGTTCAAAAAATATATGTGTTTGTATGGGGTGAACTGGTACACACCCATTTTGTACTCTTGACATTGTCTGTATGAATCAAATTTGGTACAATATGAACATTTCAAAAGAAAAATTTTCAAGGCATAATTTGATTAACTTCATTCTCGAGGAACTACCTTGATAGATCTTCTAGTATGACCTGAAAATTGTATAGTACGATTAGTTTTAAAAATAAATGTTGACTCGCGCACCAGTGTGTGTATGCACGATTACCCAAATTACAATCACACGCTCTCAAACTCAAGAAAAATAGAAAAAGTATAGACTTCGTTACAAGAAACTCTAATCTAATATGTTTTGAAGTCTTCGACAGTCTGGAGTACAATTTCCCTGAAATGTTAGTACACACAAATAACACAAAGAAAATATATCCAATGTATGTTAGGAGAAATAATAATCACTAAAATAATAATTTGGCATCATCAAAAACTCACATGATATAAAATTATAGTTTTGAAAACTAAATTGCAACAATCTCCCTCTTTTTGATGATGACAAAATAATTATTGTTTGAGTTAACACTTAAAACAATTTTTCTCCTAAGCTTCTCCTCAATGAATGATCAATTTAAAATAAGGGATTCAAACCACAAGAATAAATTAAAAAAGAAATAAAAAATCAAACAAAAATAACACAATAAACACACACACAATAACACAACAACAAATTAAAAAGAAATAGAAACTTAAATAAAAATAACATAACAAACACACACACAATAACACAATACTCACATCACAAAAATCACACAACAAATAATTATTCAAAAAATAATCATACAAACATACATCAAATAACATCAAACAATACATCAAACAACCAATATATCAAACAACCAATACATCAAACAAATAATACATCAAACAATAATTAATGACTCACCCTTTTGACAACAATAAAAAGGAAAGTACTTCTTAAAAATAATAGTTTCTATGGATAAATCAAAATAGATTATGAAGAAAAAGATTTTAAACTAATTATAAATACAACATTAACTTGTTAATGCTAAACAAAACTATGATTTTAAATCAAAGAATAATTAAGATAAGAAAAATCAATAAGGTTCACTATTCATTCTAGACATATCAAATAAAAATAATTATTGTAAAAATGATAAAATAAAGATTAATTACTTCCTAATTCATTAGTGAAGATTATTGCCGATTATATGAATTTGTATATAAAATAGAATGATAAAGGAAAGAATAATATGAATTTTTTAATTGGTGATATTATGCATCTTTTCGATTGTTTGTGACACACTTTGTGCAACTTTTTAGTTTGGGCTAATATTGTACCTCTTTTCACTTTGGCAAACATTACGTATCTTTTTAAACTGGTGGCACATTTTGTGCATCTTTTTAAGTTTGCCACGCTTTGTGCATCTTTTTAAAATTTTGGTCTTTTCGATATTAATAAATCTTAAAATAAATTCTATTAATTAATAAAAATAAGCACATTGAAAAGGAAATAAATTTAAAATAAGATATCTATTTTGTAACATTTATAGATAAATAATATTTGTCTATAAAAAGATGAAATTGATCTTCTAATATATATCCAATCATAATTTAATTTAAAATTTTGAGAGATTAAATTTTGCAAGAAAATTAATTTGTAGAGCAAAGTAATTCAAAATTCCATTCTAGAGATCAACTACAAATGATTTATCTCTAAAAACTTAAATAATTTAAGATGAGTAATTTTAATACAAGTCAAAATATCATTTCATTAATTTTTAAAACACATACCACCAATACAACATATATGAAAATAAAGAAACACAGCATAAAGAAGCCAACACATAAAATCAAAAGAAACATCTCAACAACAAGTACAAAATCTCAACATCAAGTACAACATAGAAGTAATAACTAAAATCCTGAGGGGCCTTGTCTGGAGGTGGCTGAGAAGTGA